TTCTCGTTTCCATTGTAGGCCATCATTTTTTAATGTATCATTTTTCAGATTTTCTCCTTGGCTTGTTTTGTCTTTTCTTTTTTTAATGACACTGTTTGTTTGTTTTTGGTTTAAATTGTTTTAATATAGTGTGAAGCTCAGGAAGGCTAGCGACCACTCTGTGGAAACTAATAGGGATCCAAATAAAGAATAAATGAATTAAAATGTCTCTTCTTTGCAACTGTAAAGGTTTTGTGAAAGTAGAAATTCTATTTTCTTTGTCCATAACGGATGATAATTAAGTGACTAATCTGTAAAGGTCATGTATATATTTTATCTTGTTCTGGTGAATCCAGTACGTTGATGTAACAGCATTCAGTTCAGGCTCACGCCATGTTGGAAGTGTTTAAAAAATCTTTTGGTGTCTGAACTACTGAGACTTCCTTTTACATAAAGGAAAACGACCCAGGCAGGGTGTCCTGGTGCCTCTGGGTTTTTAAACTGACCATGTAATTGGAACATGACAGGTTCAAGGCCAGTTGGGTTTCTGTTTTTTTCCCCAACATGCCTCACTGAACTGGGACACCAATTAAGTCTCAATGCCTGCTGCTATGAAGTGTTGGTTCATTATCGAACTGCACAGGCAAAGAACCTAACTATTTAGCTCGGTGACACCGTTAACAGTGATTGTTGGTACGAACAGGTTAGTAAATAAATTGAGAACACTGAACAGATTATTTTACAATCATAACTGGCATGAGAGTACATTGCTGAGGGGACAAGAATGAGGGGCCACCGCAGGTCAAGCAGCCTCACAGGGGGGACTGGAGGGTCTTAAGCCAGCAGCAACTGGTGGAAGACACAGCGATACTGTATAAGTATGTCCACAGAGATTAAGGGCTTAAACACATACAACATTGTACATGGTCTACATTTTGGACTATAAACACTCTAGTTGATGGGTCCTCTAGGTTGCAGCTCATGCAGATTCTGAGAGTTGGGTGCTTTTATACCAATGAGATTGAAGTACAATATCTCCTCCACATTTTTGCTGTTTTCTTGTTGGTTTTGCAGCCTCTCCCCGGCTCGCCAGCTTAGTTTTATTCTGGCATTGGACTCCTATATTTAACCTCTGGCTGGAAAGTGGTGTAGGGGGCAGCAAGCACACTAGCAGCTATTATCTTCAACAGTCAATTAGGTAAGAGAGTGGCCCGGGGAGAATTTCCTACCCAGTGCGGGAAAACCCATGCTCTGTTTTAGCTACAACGCTACTTTGTACATTTAATGACTTGTAAAAAAAAAAAGCTGCTGTGTTTAAAAGATTCCCATACTTTTTTCTCTGTTGGCTACCATAGTGATCAGCCCATATTTCCAGCCACAAGACAGCCTTTAGTCAATAACAGTTCCTAGCAGGCCTGGTGAGCAACAACCCCACTGTGTCATTTGCCACACTGCCAACACTGGTTAGAGACGACACTTCAGAGCACTGAACAGTCGGCCTGTAGCAACCGGCATTCAACAACAACACAAATACAGCACGGGGAAAGCCAATGCCATATCAGAATGTTACCAGCCTTCCTCCAGATGTCTCGTGCAGCTTGTGCCTTTGTTTAGGCGTATATGTCATAGAGCATCTCACACTTATTGGCTGCCAGCTGCTTTCAAAGAGCGCCTGGCGCCTCTCTCTTTAAGAGCCGATGAGAGAGAGAAACAGAGGAATGAGGAGTGTCATCCCCTGATAAGTCATCGCGGCCGTAATGGTGGGGTGGGACCGGGAGGAGACAGGTGAGCCCCAGAGAATGGAAATATCCATTTTGGATAGATATCGACAAAAAAAAAAAAAAGCTTGTTTCCAAAAATAACTTCATTGGACAGAGTTACACTGGCATCATCACATTCATTTTGATTACTTGCGAAACCATCACTTTTCATTTCTGCTCAACTGATGCTGTTCCCACGGTCCAGTAAACACAGCTTTAACACATTATCAAACAGCTCACCCTTAACTCAATAGCTTGCTTGTGCTTGGCTTTCTACTGCGAATTGCTTAACAACAGGGGACTATCCAAGTTGTTATATGAGGCGTATCAATGTGAAAGCAATATCTAGGAATCTTCTTTCACTGTTGACTGAGCATAATCAAACAGGGACTGTGATGTGGGATGTGTACCTCACACGTTCATAAAAGTACCTCATTCAAATGTAAAGAGCAGCGGTGTACAAGTAAAAAGTGCATCTTCAAAAAACAAACTAATAACTAATAACTTTAAAGGCCATATTACTTGCAGACCTTGTTTAGACTTTATCTGCATATGATTCCATGTTTGATTATACACGTTTTGTTCATCTAAAAACAAGCTTTATTAATATTGTGCAGGAGTATATTCGCTACTTCGTGTGCAGAGGCATTGTGTCTCATTTATTGTGCAGTAGCATTGAAATGGATTTGAAAGAGCTGCGACTGGACATCATTTCTACAGCTGGGATGCAGTCGTCTCTCAGCATGTGACCTTGAGTCAGGCCCAGCCTCCACATTAAGTTGATCAAGCCCTGGTGTCTCACAGGGAAACATCATTCTGCAAATATCAAGCATAAATGAAAGCTTTCATACTTGACTAAGACGTTCAATATGGCAGGCTGGAGCAGATGAGCGTTCATTTATGCTTGGGAGCCAAGAAGACGGGGACACAGGGGAGGAAGAGTGTCAAAGCCAAATCTCCCCTTTCCTCGATCTCGCTTTCTGTCTCACATCCATCCTCGTCTGCGTCTCTCTTTCTCAGCCTCGGTTCTCCATCTATCACTTCCTGGCACTCAGTGTCTGTCTCACTCCCTTATTTTCTCTCTTATTGAGAATGCATTGACCCCAGACTTAAGTAAGCTCCACATCATTGATTGAAGCAAGAGGAATAGGTGGTGTCATGACAAGACAGATTTTATCTATAAAGCGTTATGGATTACAGACATTTGGAGGAAAGGGGGATTTCGAAGGCGCCGGGGTTGGCGTTAATTCTGTCAAATGATTTATTCAGTATGGCCAATCAATTAAATTAGAAGTGTCCAGTTACTACTTGGCCCTCACTGCCTTATGATGTATGGCGTCATAACATGAGCTAACAGTTTCATCACATTACCGCCCCACCCTCTAATCTTATAATCTCTCCTCTCCTATCAGTGCAATCACTGGGAAAGATCTACTGAATGTCCTTGCATCGGATATCATGTTCCTCATGAGCTTAATGCTCCATCTTTATGCATCTTAAAGGCGTCTCTAGATGGTCACGAAGAAACACCTACAATCTGAATGTGTAAGCTGCGCGTTATACATGCTATTTCTGGTCAAGACACAATGCTCTTTCTGCAGCCCTGCTGTGCTGTGTGAGAGCCAATATGCTCTCAGAAAGTAGAGCCGTTTCTACTTTAGAAGTGAGTGACCTTTAGGTGAATACTGCAGAAAGTCACCCTTGTATGTCTCAGAGCCATTCAGCCGGTGCTAATGGACAAACATCTCTGTCTTCACAGGGGAGAAGAGTTTATCCACTGCCACAGTAGTGTAGCACTCTGTGGAAAATGAATTGGACAAAATAGAGAAGGTGGCTGACGCAGTCTGGAGGGGCTTTTTCGAGGAAAAGGGTATGTTATTATCAGATTGGGAGGGACTGTGGCTGTGTTACAGGGAGAACCACTGTACACATCCACGCTCATTTCATGTTGGTAAAATATGCAGATCACTTTAAATATTAAGGTTGTACTTTCTGTTCTTTGCTTTTGGAGAAATAGTTCTTCGCATTCATTCATTTGACAGTTTTGGGGCAATAAATTAAATAACATATGCAAGTTCAGATCTAATTTCTATTTCGTTTGAGTCTGTGCACAGGAAAGTGGTTGTGTAAGCATGCACGGCCACAGTCTCATGTCTTGTCCATGCATGTACGATGCTGTAACTAGAACCTGAAATTGCAGTAAACTGTGTGTGTGTGTGCGTGCGTGTTCATGTGTGTGAAAGCATTGCACTGAATTCCAGAGGAGGCACACGTGTAATCATCTGAACTGCGGAGGGGCTTGTGACCGCCTGACATCAGACCATGAATGACACATTGAGCAAACATCATATTTGTGTGGTTACAGCACATGGTCAAGTGACTGTCAGGCATTCTATAGGGAAGAATTCTGCACACAAAGAACATACAGGTTTCAAAGAAGAGGAAAGATTAGGGAGGGTAGCGGCTTAGATTTGAGTGAAAGGGAGACTGGAAAACGAGAAGACAGAAAGCGAGGTGCGGCTCCTGCATCTGTGTTTCTACAAATGTCAAGTGTGGGGGAATTTAAAGGGACATTTCTGATCAGGGATCAAAAAGCCAGAGTGTCTGTGTGACATGTCTGTACTGTCTTAATGTATTTTCAAAGCAGTGTTTCATCTCGAGAAACAGCCGAGAGCTAGAGCTCCCTTCCTTTACCATGTGACTGGAAATGCATGTGACTACAGGTTCAAAAAGGTATAAAGATAGAAACTGGGTTTGCTCACTCTCACAACAAAGCAATACGTAAAAATACATCCTTTTAAGTTCCTGGGAAAGAAAACATATTTTGAAGTAACAGTTTGAGGCAGTCATGTGTGCAAACTGCATTGTGTGCTGTTTGTGAAATCAAATGCACACAAACATTTCTACAAGATAGGTTAGACCTACACGCCAACACTTACACACACACGCACACACACACACACACAAAAAAATGGTGCTACTGCAGGTGCGACTTTGGCCCCAAAATAGACTAACATTCCGTGGGGGACTTGCAGAGAGATTATGCTTCTCAGTGGCAATGAGTTTATACTGTAGCAGCTGTATGGGGGCTTAGCAGTGTGCTCGACACTTTATGGCATGATTTAAACAAAATGTTGTGCTACATTTGGACAGGTAGATCACCCTGAAAGTGCGTTTGGGCTCAGGGGTAAAGATCCCATTTGCTCCAAAGAAATAGTGCGCACACCATGACCGCAGCAGACGCATTTCGAATGAGCTTACCTGATATTTCGGACTGAGGGACACCATCCAGAGGGAATCCTTTCCCGCTATAAAACTGCCTGATATCCGAACAACTCCGAGCTTTGCTGGTCCCTTTGTCCCCATAGGCTGGTGCCGTTAGAGAGCACACTGCCAAAGCCGCTACGATGAAGGAATCCATCATGTGGACTTAGTCAAGTGCAAATCCGACCGAGAGGCGAAGCGGCTGTGTTGAGTCCTGAACGGAGCAGGAGACTCCCAGTAAGTGGCCGCGTGTCAAACGGGGCTACCAAGTGCTGCTGTGCGTAAAATATCCTCCACCTTCCTGTGTCCCGCCTGCGCTTTGAGTGCGTCTGCCGAGTCTGTGGCTGCTCTCCGCGCACTGCCGCACGGCACAGGGGCGACTCTTCACAGCGCAGAGGTCCCGTCTCTCCCCTCTCCTTCTGTAGGGCCGATGTGGACAGGACAGTAGTTTTGTTATTCTTCCCAAACGGCTGAATCTCCTCACGCTGTGCCCAGGATGAGTGCAGTTCTCCTGTCTCCACTGTAGTTGTTTTTTTTAGTTCACCTAGACAGGGAGAAGCAAGATATGAAAATAATTAGGTTACGCGTTTATAGCTGGAATCATTTAGGTTGTGTCAAGAAAATAGCACGGTATTGCGCTGACGCTGAGCAGCTACGGTTCTGTCGCCGCACGCTTACCGGCTATGACGACCCGGGAGGGATCCGAGTAAGGAGGTGCGCACAGGCGGCAGCTATCGCAGCTCGTTCCCGGCTCAGGATATTCTGAACGATGCTATGCCAGCGCTGCCACTCTGTGGTATGAGGAGGAGGCGAGAGAGGGAGAGGGGGAGAGAGAGAGGGAGAGAGAGTGTGTGTGTGTTTGTGAGAGAGAGAGAGAGGGAGCGCATACGAGGTCTCGTGTTCCTGCTCCGTTTCATTCCGTCTGATCTAAATATTATTTTTAGACGTTTCAGAATAACATTACTAACAGGTTTGAGTCGTGGGTTTAGTTTTGGAAACGTCTGTCATTTTGATGTCGTATCCGTCTGTGTGCGGAGGCCTGCTGTATGTGGTCTTTCATAAGGTTGGTTCTCAGTGAAAGAATGTGCTCTACGCGTCCCGACAGCGGGATCTCCACCAGCCAGGTGTCACAGGTGAACTGTGGGCGGGCCCTCGACCCCAGGCACCCACGCGCACACCCAACACAGGTCCTCTCCTCCGCTCCGCAGCGGGGGCTGCGTGCATGGGCCGTGTCACTCCTCGAAGGGGCAATTTGACGACAAGTCAATACATTCCCGATGCGGTTGCCAGTTTACTTGTCACCTGCTGAATGCCTTCACTATTCGAGATTCTGTACGTGTATTTGAACTACGCTCACCTTCAGAATGACGTTTACAGGTGTGTTGCTGTCTTCTACATAGCTACAATAACTGCCCTCTTTTTATAAGGCTGTTTGCCTTATTGGCTCTGTTTGGTGAGATTTATTTATATTTCTTCTTCCATCACGAAAGGAAATGCTTTGTTTAAAAAGCAGGCTGCATTTGATACATACTTGGAAATTTTCAGTTCATGCATTACTTCTAATAGGATCAGTGACTACTGGTTCCAGAGTCCAGATCCAGTAAGTCCAGGGCCATGTCATGCTCAATGGCTGCAATATGTCCGTAACTAATGTGTTTCTTTCTCCTCCTTTTATTGTGTGACGAAAAAGTTCACTCAGTTCAGGTTGGAACCCTCTTCCTATGAGGTAACTGCTGAGTTTAAGGGTCTTATGTTGATTACACTTTGGATATTGCACTTGTTTCATGAATGCAAGGCTCGTGCGACCTCTAATAGTCATGCATATGAACAACACACACATTCAGAAGCTCAGGTAAAAAGGGTTACATGTTTCATGTGACATTAGCAACCCACAAGATACTCTGTGGTGTAGACCTTATATCCTGGATAGTTGTGTAGAGACATCCAGTTCACTCACTGTGTGAAATTGAATCAGACAGTGTTTGAGGGTGTCACTCCTGTGGGAGATGCTTTTTAAGGATTGTCATCGCACATTATCGCAGTGACACATGGAAAAACTCCAGTGCAGCCTGAAATAACCAGCCGCCACTCAACAGACAGACAAACAAATGTGAGAAGCAGAGGACAGAAACGAGAAAAGACAAGAGAGAGGGAGCGAGTCACATGGCAAGAACAGTCATTTCCTACCTCGCAATCATTCGTTTTATGAAGGCAGACATTGTTTATGAATACATTAGGACATGTTACTCTATAATTAGTCCGTTCCACATGACTGGATGAGTCCAAACAAAGTGGACAGCATCTCACATATCACAGACAAATGGCTACACCCGCTCTCCGTTATTACAGCTCTGAAGCGAGCAGGCATGAATTACACCTTCGCTCTGCGATGTCAAGTGTCTCGCTCATTTGCATCCCGTGCATGTGCGCTCGGGCAAATCTGGCACAACGCCGTCGCAGTTCCTCTGCCGAAGTTGAGAATTGTGTGATGGTGCCACACGGCAGACGGAAACCACTTCGGTTTTCTTGTTGCTGTGGGGAACATCGGCCAGTTAGACACATGTGGCCAGAGGTTAATAAGTCTAATGGCCTCAAAGTGTGTGTGTGTGTGTGTAATGAAATGTCTGTCGGTATTATGAATGGGTTTGTGTATACCTATGACCATTGTGTGTACGTGTGTCTGTGCACAATTCGTCAGAGGCAGTTAGTGTGTGTGTTTGTGTGTGTGTGTGAGCGTAAGTTTATGTGTCTGTCTGTGTCTCACATGTGGCCATAGGTCGCCAGTGCTGCTGGAGAAACTGATTGGCCCTCCACTGTCTGGTGCGGAGATCATGTAATTAACGCTCAGTAAAGCCACAGAACAGCCATGTTTTCTCCAGCCTGCCTCCCATTGAAGTTTTATGGGCTCTGACCATGAAAGGCCTTCTAATGAGGAGCAGGATGCTGGGGGAAGTGGGGGAGACCAGAGAGTGCAAAAGAGGGGAGGCAGAATGGTAGCAATGGGAGAGGAGAGTACGGGGTGAGAGGCCGTACAACTAAGCAACTGTCAGTTTAGTGTACACATGCAGTAATTATGTGTGTGATGAGGTTTTCTAGTGAAAATGACATTGCTTCTAGAAATACTACAGATGTTTTACCACTCAGGCAAAAACACTCACACTCTAAGTAGAACGACGGAAGAAAATGTCAACATAACACAGGCCTATCTTTCTCAATGTTCCACTAACTTTACCACACATCTGTGGGATTATGCACACTAAAAACATGTGTATGTTTAATAATAATTAAATAATAATTAAAGAATTATCAAAAAAGTCTGCTCTTCCTGCTCCAGTTTGGTCACAACAGCAGGCCTTCACATGCAGCGACTCGTGTTTCTCTGGTACGGATTGCAGCACTGACAGCCTCTGCTGTTGGGTAAGTATTGTAAGCTTAACTTTTAAGTTGCTGTGCAAATTAAAATGTGTGATCTGATGATAGCTATTACTGCCACTCCTTTGATTACCTCCACCGCAGCTGTCTTCCATGTTCGTATTCACAGAGTGACTCCCACCGGCACAGAGTTGTTACAAATGTCGATCCACAGTGACGTAATTATGACTCCCACTGCTCCTCTTGGCAAGACCGCTCTGCATAGCGGGTTGAGGCAGAGGCCACTGGTTAAGGTTATGCATTGATCTAGAAGGTCAGGAGAGTCACATAATGTGCAAACAAAACACATTTGGGCCACTTTTGCCAGCAGTCTGAACATAGCCTTTCAATATAATCAGTATGACTTATTAAACCAATTCTGCAATAGAAGAATTAACGCATTGATTACTGTGTTTCTATTCTTTGAAGGCATCAGGAGATGTACGTAAACTCAAATTTTACCCATCATCAGTAGGATATTTTTCCAGGTGAAAATATTCATAAGACAAACTCAGCAGGATTGCAACACTCAAATGTAGCACTGGCTGATTAATTGCTGATTGCGCCGATTCACTGCTGTTTAAACTAGAGATCTCAGTGTTTTCTAAATGTATCTCTGTTTCTGTGCAATCAGAATAATTTGGAAACCTGCTGCTGTATTAAATTATGTTACAGCGAACAGTACACTTTTCCCAAGCCGCTGGAATGCCTTTATCGTGAAGCAGCTACAGGAAACGTTGAAGGACTGGAAACCTATGGCTGAATACCAATGAATCCACATCTAGATTTGGACAATGTAGGTGCAGATGCTAACAAATTGAGGTGACAGCAAAAGCTTTTATGATGTCATTCTTGTCATATACTGTAAAGCTATTTGACATGAGAGCATTCTGTGTTAGGGTTAGGGTTCAGCTATGTTTCCATGTGATTTCTTATACAGACATACTGTATCTGGAGACATGCAATCTCATCCCTCTATTGAAACTCATGTAACCATATGGAGCAGAAGGATTTCTATAATTGTAATAGTGTGGCATTGAAATGTAAAAGTACAGAGTGCTCCCACCCATCAAACTCACGAGTACAGTTGTATGAAGGCATTAATGACTCAAAGAACAGGGTACAACCAGATCTGATAGAAGACACACACACACACACACACACACATACAGTGATGCAGGGAGGGAGCAGCAGGATTGGCCAGCTTACAAGGCCCACTGCCAGGCATCAGCAGGGTTTCTATGTAAATATCAGTGTGCCGTTTCAAGAGATGTAATCAGCCTTTAGAGGGAGATCATTGTGTCCTCTGCCTAAATCCAGTCTCATCCTGGGCTCTTACAGATAGCATTGATTCTGCCTCTTTTTCTGGGTTTTAATGTCAACCATTAGCCTGAGATCAGCACATTCACCGGCGTGCTCAAGTGTGCACACATTACTCACCGGGTCCATCTATTCTATTCCCCTTCTCGTTTAATGTCTCTTTTTCTTCCGTCCGTTTCGTTACTATTTTCCCTCTTGTACACGCACTCTCTTCTTTCTCCCTCTTCCCACCCTGGCCTCATGAGAACATATGGACATGCCTCCATTGCTACTGTTCAAACGCAGTCATGCGTACAACTTCCAATTCAGAGTTGTTTTTTAACGACTGCCTTCTCTTCTGGCCTGTCCCTGCCTGTTTGCCGTTTGAAGATGCTACATCTTTCCTTGATCCCATTTACCCAGTGTCTGTCTGTGCAAACACAGCCTCCACAAACAGCAGATCTGCATATCTCCACACGCATTGCCCTCCCCAGCTGCCAGAGACAGATGATGACAGAAAAAGGCGACATTTTGATGGTTGGCGCGAAAGGGAAGACAGATATTATTGTCGAGAAAAATGAGAAATAGCGAGGGAAATTGGGGGGGGGGAGCTTATGAGGCAAGAGAATATGATGATGGATGACATAGGGAGCATGGCTGAGAAGTGAGTTTGGGGGGAAAAAGTAGCAGGGAGGGATTATTCATTCAAAGTGGAAACGATCCTTGAATTCTTGGGGTCGTTCTTGCAAGCAGGTGCGGTCGTGGATGACAAACGCCCCATGTGGTGAGTTGCGTTGTCCTTTTGTATGTCTCTGTGGGCATCCTGGCGCCTTTTCTGTTGAGCATTCGGCGTACATTCCAGTCTTCTACAACCATGGGCGCAGGAGGAGAAGAAGAAATCTAAAGGTACATCTTACAATATAATGAAATCCCAAAACACCCCAAACTACTTCCTAAGAAATGAAGAGGAGAGGAGTGCATGAAAATCTAATTCAGACACAACTTAAATCTGAATGATGGCCACTGAATGCAGTGTTTTATTATTTATTAATCTACAGTAGTTTATGTAATCACTGATATATCCTGCATGTGG